ACCAGACTCAGACGGTTCTTTTCCCATCAGCCACACCCCATTCCTGTTTATCCTGGCTGGTAGAACTCACCTCTCCCTTTCAAGGCTGAAAATGCCCAAGAATCACTTTCCCAACCTCCTTTACTGGTAGAACATGGGCATGTGACCCAATCCCAGCCAATGAGATCTGAGGCAGAAGGATGCTAGGGGAATTCTGGAAAAGGTTTTCCTCTTTAAAGGCACAAGGTCAATACCTCAGGGATGACAGAACTGAAAAATGGAAGTGACAACATCATAGAACCACAGAGACACATTCCCTCTGGAGATAACAGATACTCATTTGGGTATCTGTTACTTACACCCTAACGCATATGAAAAGAAAGAAGTATTGAGTCACCAAGGCTGGGTGTAGTGGCTCATACCAGCAATCCCAGCACTTTGGAAGGCCAAGGCAGGATTGCTTGAAGCCAGGAGTTTGAGACCAGCCTGAGTAACATAATAAGAACTTGTCTCTACAAAAAAAAATTTTAAATTACCTGGGCATCGTGGTACACACCTACAGTCCAAGCTCCTCAGGAGGCTGAGGCAGGAAGATCACTTGGGCCCAGGAGCTGGAGGCTGCAATGAGCTATGATCACACCACTGTACTCCAGCCTGGGCAACAGAGCAAGATCCTGTCTCAAAAAGACAAATAAACAAAATAAAAAAGTCAAAAAACCAACTAATGTGATATTATAGAAAATATAACAAATAGATACTTTTTCTTTTAGGTATTTACTTGAAATAAATCAGCCTCTTAAGATTGGAAATAGTAAATTACCATTATTAAATGTTCACTGAACATTTTGGGTACTCACACAAGAAACTACACAACTTCCAAGATGACGTGATCTGAAATGACTTTTCCTCACTTCCTTCTTTCATCTGCGCATTTCCCTGAAGAAACACTGAAAACTGTCTCTTTTCCTGCTGGGCAGCAATTCTCTTTTCTTGAAGGTCTCTCTTTCATGAAGTCATGGGAGTCAAAACACATCATGTAAGAAGAATCTCAGCTTTGTGTAGACCAAAGAATTGCAAGTTCCAGGCTTCAGGCAACAATATAGAACCATAGTATTCTCCAAGTGAGAAATAGCTTACAGATCATTCGTAGTAACACGGCGGAATTTGAATACAGGTCAATCCAGAACATCTGCTTAGCGTTCTTAAGATCATTAACAACATTTATCTCCCATTCTAAATTATGTATACAGCAGCTGGCAACTTTTCAGCAATTCCTTCCGGTCCCATCTGAGGAAACCCAACCCAGTGACCAAATACACACTGGGGTCCAGTGTCTCTGGGGATTCCCTCCTTCATTCCGGGAATGTTTACTAAGATCTATCGAGTGTTGGGACTGAGATTTAATCGCTCGGGTTCTATTCTCATATTGCTTACGATGTTTGGGGGAGCCCATGACTTGTCCACATGCAAGTAATTTTAAAAATACAAATGAGTAACACTGCGTATGTGATAGAGAACTGGAACTGCCAGGTGCTGACTGAGATAGCAGCCGCTTTGGGTCGGTCAATGTCGCCTTTCTCTCCCATTTACTTCGACACACACTGACAATGGAGACGCTCTGATTCCCGCACGGCAAGTGCGGACAGCGGGCGCAGGCCGCCGCGGGGCTGGTCCCCCGGGCGGTGTGGCCAGCCAGGATGTTGCGCACAGAGGCCCGGCGGGCGGGAGGACGCGGGGCGAGGCCGGCGGTCCCGAGAGGGCGCAGACGGCCGGGCTCCCCGCGGACCCCTCGCGCCGGGGCCGAGCCGGGCGGGCGGGCGCCGCACCTGCAGCGCGCGGGGGCGGGAGCCAGGTGGCCTCGCGCTGCCGCCGCGCCCGGGCGCGGAGCAGGAAGTGGCGGCGGCGCGGCCCAGGCGCGGCCTCCTGGCGGTGAACCCGGGCAGGGAGGCGGCCGCGGCCGGAGCCCGAGCGCCGGGAGCGAGGCCTGATGGCGGCGCTGGTGCCCGCGGGCCCCGGGGACGCCGCCTCGGCCGCCCTGGACGAGCTGGCCCTGAACTTCACCTACGGGGCGGCGGGC